GAGTTTTTTTTTTAATGGAGAAGCCCACTTTTGCATCTTCGACTTGTTAATTAGCAGCTTTATTTATCTTCCACGGTATCTATATCCTCGGGAATAAATAGTCGGTGAATTCTTCTGATACCAAATGAAATTTACTGAAACTAAGTAAAGAATTTTAAGGCTTGCATAGATAATAACTGAAAAACAATACAAATTTAACAAAACTTTATCAGTTACAAAGATTGAGGAATGGGAGGGGGAACACTTATTTTTCATTTTTTTAAAAATAAATCGATATTGTTGGCACAAAAATTGGCTGGTTAGTTGCGGGCCAAACAACTTTTTGGGTCAACCATAATTGAGCCCATAACATCTCCAATTGGGCCAAAATAAAGGGAAGCTATGTGGAAAGATATGACCACAACCTGGGTTTACAGACCAAATATTATTTATGGTTGGAAGTGGTTTACAGACCAAATTCTCATATTGTCCTTTATGGTTGAAAGAGGTAGGAGGTAGTAGGAAAAACCTTTGATGGCGTACTCCTCTATAAATAGCCCAAAATGACATATATAGTGTGTTTGTATTCGAGTTGTGTCATGAATTTTCAAGTTTACCTTGAAGCAAAAAATATTAACTTCTACGTAAAATGTTGACGTGGAGAGAGAAGAAAAAACAGCGTTAGAAAATAAATATCAAACACGTACATAATCTAGCTTTCTGGTCAAAATCGATTAGATTTATTCTCATTGACTTATATTAAGTGTTATCTTAAGTTAGTTTAGCTAATCAAGAAAAATTATAAATAGATGAAAGAAAATAGTAATTTTATAAAATTAATCTTATGATTAATCATTTTTATTACAAAACAATGTAACACAAAATTATTTTTTATATAAAATTATTAAAGATATAATTGAAAAATAGGTAATTAATACTATATATTAAAAAGTTAACATAACCTTTATTTTGAGATTTTTTTTTACTGTGGCACTTATTATGGGACATAGTGAGTAAATTTTTTTTAGGCATTTATCACTTTTATTTACTGCTTTATTGATCATTTTATTTTCATCACTTTTAAGTTAGTGTCTCAAGTATTTGTCATCGTCAACAAAAAGGAAAATGAAAAAGATGATGACGAGTATGTGAAAATGAATATAAAGATGACAACATGAGAATGTGTCTAGATGAAGACTTCACACTTGAAGTTAAAGATGAAAATGAAGTGAAAATTTGAAGAGTTTGGAGTTGTTTGTATTGTTATGCTTAATTAGTTAAATTTTGATTCTGGACGGGCTTTGTTTTGAAAAGAAACACAAGATTTGGTTTTGAAAGTAAAATAAATTATGTAATGATCTAATAATCTAGTTAACTGTAGGGCATGTTAATCGACGAAGATTAATATTTTAAACATGTTTAGATTTGAAGAAGTTAAGTTGTTCGGGATTGGTGAATAAAATTATTCATGTTTTGTACTGTTGTAATAAATTAAATTGATTTTGTAATAGATTAAATTATTATTAACAATATTGAAAGATGTTTGTAAACTTGTGTTATATTTAATTAAAGACTAATATTCAATTTTTATCAGACAATCAACAATAATTTATGTGCATTGCTTATAGAGGATAAGTGTTTAACATTTAAAATATTGAAAAAAGATTTTGCTGTTCCTAATAATCTTACTTATTTTGAACAATACTATTTTCAAGAGAATACTTACTGTCTATGCCAAAAATAAAAAAATAAAAAAAAGGAAAAGTTTAAGAAATTTATACCGTGATCGATTATATAAAGTTCTATCATAAAAGAAAAAATTAATGTAAAAAAGAAGTCTTATTGTTAAAGAAAAATCAAAATGTTAAATTTTTCTGAAAACATATAAAAAAAAGTGTTATATTAATATAATAATGTCATGTACTAGAAAAATGTATTTTTTGAATACATAGAAAAGAAAAGTAATGTATAATTGTTAAGACAAAGTCACGGTTCAAGATAAAGTCATCATGACCTACTTAATTTGTTCAAGCATAGTTATTTAAAAAAATACTCATAGTTTATAATAAAAAAAAAGGAAAAAAATGAAGTAATTAATATTATGATTGAGAATTTAAAGTTTTAACATAAAAGAAAAGTTTGATGATGAAAAAAATCTTATTGTAAAAGAAAAATAAGAATATTAATATTTTTCTAAAAATATAGAAAACTGTTATACAATAGTAAAGTGGTGCCAAAAGAAAAAAAAAATGTATTTTTTGGGTACGTATAGGAAAAAATAATGTATCATTGTTAAGATAAAGTCATATATAGAAAAATATAATGCATGATCATCACGTTTAAAGGTAAAAAGCCAAATTCATAATATAAAATTTAACGATATAAATGAAAAGGTTTCTCTTATTATATTGTATGATGATTAGCTAATATATACTTCCATGCCTCTCGTGTAAGGTTATTGTCTCAATTATACTACTTTATTTAATTAATTAAAATAACAAAATTGTTAATTTAATTCATAATAATAAATTTATTTTATTTTTATATTTTTTTATATCTAAAATTACTCATATATTCTTTCTCTTTTCTAATTAATATTTATACATCTTTTAGTTAATTAAAAAAAATATGTATACTATTTATCTTTGTTAATTAATATTTATTTTTTTATAATTAATTAAAGTACATTATCTTTAAAAAAAATTATAATTCATATATTTTATTAAATTTAAATAACCCTTTAATTAAAAATATTTTAATCTAAAATTATTAATATGAGATAATATAAATAATGTCTTATATATTAGAATTATTTTTGACTTGGAAAATTATTAGAATAAGTAGATAGCGATGGGTGAGTTATAGCATGAAGAGAGGATGAATGTCAAATTACCTAACAAGTTACTTCCGAATTTAATATTTATGTTTTCAGTACTCAAAATATATTTAAAATATTAATATTAGCCCACAAATAAGATAATACTTCACGAGTAAGACATTCCGTATTCGTATCTGGTCTGAATTTAAAAAATACTTGCAAAGAAATTTATATTTACTTGATTGAGACCTCAAATCTATGATCTGTCAAACACAAGAGTCGATTCCTTCATTAATTAAATTATTTAAGGAAAATCATACTAAAATCACATGTCATTTTTTAAATGTTGAGATATCTGGCAAACGAAAGCAGGTATTGTCTCGTCATATAGAGTAAATGGTTATTTCGATGTTTCAATTTAGAAATATTGGTCTCTAAGATTAAAAAAAAATATGTTAATTAAGTATTTGAAATTGACATTAATATTAGTTTAAAAATTACAAAATTTAACGACTAAAGTGATGATATTATTCTATAATTAAAAAACAAATTACCACTAAATAATTAAATTTAGACATTTATTTACTATTTTAGATTTTTTTTTTTAATTTTAAAGACTAATATTTACTCTCATGAACCAAAAGAACTATTTACTATATACTACTATTTTAACCTTTGCATAACATATACCAAATGTTTTGTTATATAATACATAACTAAAAATTATAATAAATTTTATATAAATAAATAATATATTTGAATATAAGTTATATTTAAAATTTGTACATATAAGTATTTTTAAATAAAAACCCAATTTTAATTTCATTCTACTTGATATTGACATTAGACAATTTATTATATTTACAAATAGTTTTTTATTGTCATTTTAGAGTTAAAATATTTATCTTAAATTTTAATCATTCACTAATTTTTCATTTTTGTTATAATTATTTTTCAAATATAATAAAAATATGAGCTTAGAAAAAAAAAGGAGAGAATGATTTAAACAATTAAAAAAGTCATTATTTATTTATTTTTAATTATAAATTATATGATATTTTTAATATATGAAAATAAAACTAATATATGTACTAGAAAAATTAATAAATAATTTTAATTTAAAATAAATAAATGACTGATATGTTGCTATCTTATTAATTTAATCCTAATATAATATAAAAGACGATTTACACAAAAAAAAAATCAAGATAAAATTCAAATCAAGCTATTCAATCATAAGAACGTAAAATTTAAAGATTAATTATAATAAAATTAAAATTTATCATATCTATTTGTTAATCAAATAAAGATTAAGATCAACGAGATAAAATTAAAGTTTTGTACTATCTATTTATAAAAGAGGCAAAATTCAGGAGATTTAATTTTTTTTCTTCTCTACTATGTAACATCAATCAAAGGGTTGATTACTGAAAAAGGGGAAAATGAGATGGTTGGACGAAGGCATTGTAATGGACGAAAAGGGTAATGACATAACAACATTAACAACACGTATAAGACATTTTTTTATTCATTAAACCCAAATACGAACGTTGACAAAGATACGGAACAACTTTACTTTACATGAATGTAAAACGACGTCAGATAAACGCCAAAGCTACAACAGCCACAAGCAGTGCCACAATGTTTTCCACACGTTACGCCAATCACTTCCCGCCACGTGGCATGTGCCTCATCTGCGTGGACCCTCAACCTGTGGCACCAATTTTATGCCTTCCGTTCTTGCCAACTTTCAACGACTACCATCGTTGTATTAGAATTTTCTTTAATTCAACAAATTGTTATGATATTTAGTGTGTTTGTTTTAACAACAACAACTCATATTAACAAAAAAAACTATTTTACATTATTTTTTAGTTTAATGGAATGTCATGACAAAACAAACACACCCATATTGAATAGAGTATTTTTAAGATTATTATTGTAAAACTTAATAAATATGATAATTTATGATTGAAATAACCTTACCAAAGTCCATTCTAATTTTTACTCGGTCAAACTATAATCATACTCTTATCTTTTAATCAATTATTTTAGTTAAGTAAATTAATGAAAAATCAAGAAATATATCATGTATAAATGATTTGTGATTGGAAAAAGTGTATAACTGCTTTGTATTGATGCTTATACTTTTTTTACTTAAAAGATTATTCTTCCATTAATCATATTCCTAATAATTAATATATTCAACAATTCTTTTATAATACGTAGATTTCCTAACTATAAAAGGAACAGAAGAAAAGAAGTAGAATTTTTTTCTCCAACCTTGAACAATTTAAATTAGAGGTTGCTTGAAGGTATGTATCTTCTATTTTTTTTTTCTCCTTCCAGTAATTTTGCATTTTGTTTGATCTACCTCTATCTATGTGTTATTTTCAATAATCAATATCAGTTTCTCTATGTGACAGAGGTGTTAGAATGTTGGTGTAAGGTATGATAGTAATCTGCGGCTGAGATATTTATGCTATGGGGTCTTGTGTGTCAAAGAGTGATGATGGATGTGGAAGAGGGAGGTTGACATTAAAAACTGCGAGTAAAAGACGTAAACTCAGAAGAAGAGTGTCTTCTCAGGTTTGCAATGGATCATTGGACAAGGTTGATGTGCCTGAGCCTGACTTCTCTGGTCGCTCCATTTTCAACCCCACTTTTCAAGGTTCATATTTTTGTGTTTGCATTTCTCTGAATTGATTGTGTTTTAGCATTTCTCTGAATTGGTTGTGTTTTTATCTTCTTTTGGAGAGTGCTTTGCCTTTTGTGTCCTGTTTTATTTGCATTTTGCATTTTTGCTATTTGATTTTATGATTTGTTAGGAAATGTTGGAGGCCTTGTAGTAATGGAATGGTTATGCCTCGTGAAAGGCTGAGATAACTGTTGATTGTTTTAACAGGTATAATGGTTGAATCCCTAGGGTAGACAGATTGTAATTATTGGTGAAAATTTTCTGCCTATGCTTAAATGTTTGCAGCAATTGTGTTTGATTTTAATTTTTAAGTTCTGATTATTATTGAATGATTGACTGGGGAGGCTGTAGTGGGATTAGATCATATTGTTAAAATTCAAGTTAAAACTGAAACATACTGAATCACTTTCATTCACAAATCACAACTGAAATAATGTCAGCATTGGTGCTTATGCTATGGTAGAAGGCTTAGCCATAGCCAGGTTTGTTATATACAGAATTACAATAATATTTTCTTCACTATATCAAGGGAGGTGTTGAAATTTAATTGTAAACTAAGCATTAGTTGCTGGATTAGTCCCTTTTATTCATTTTACCCTCTTAAGAAGTTTAAATATAAATTTGTAATTGGGAAGTGAGTTAATTAGTGGATATCTATTCAAAGGATTTTACTTTAATTCTCTGGCCCTGTAGATCTATTAAATTAGTTTGTGCCCAAAATCTTTGTCTGAGACCTTACATGTTAATTTATGGTAGCAGGAACTACGGAGGAGGCATGGTTTGATTCAGTTGGAGCCTTTGAATCAGACTGTGATGATGACTTCCAGAGTATCCCTGATGGTATGATTTGGGATGCTTTAAAATTAATTTTGACGAATTAGTTGCTATCACTTTATGCATTGTATGTGATCACCTTTGACAATATATGATTAAATACAAGTGGTATATGTAGATGTGATATTTCTGAATGGAACTGAAGCCAACCGTGGAGTTTCGACTGATCAGGCGCACAAACCTGGGGTGATATCAAAAGGACATTCTGCACACACCTCTGAGGATGTTAGTAATTCAGATGCTGAGTTTCTTGATGTAGATGCCATGAACTTTCAATGTAAACGCCATGGAAGTGTAAATGAAGCAAATGAACCTGTTTTTCTTGATGAATTTTCCTCGGTGGACGCGAGCTCCAAAAGAGTTGATGGAGATTTGGACAGCTGCGGGATTCTTCCAAGCAAATGTTTGTCATGTCTTTCATCTATTGATCAGAGATCGTCATGTTCTAGTCCTCCTAATACAAGGAACAAGGCTCCTAACAAGCATTCCTTTAGATGGAGTGGGAATGCTACTCTATGTGAGTTCAAGTTCTTGAAACAGAATTCTTATCATTAATGATCATTGTTGCTTTAATGAACCTGCCTTTCACTTGCAGGTTATTAGTTATGACTCAGCTTTAAAGTCTTGTATTGCAAACTCAAAGAAGAAACTTCATTTTGTCATATAGAAGATTGAGTTAGGAATTTTTACCTAGGAAAGAGTACTTTTTAAATATAAAAAGATGTCTATAAACTTTTATGATAAGAAGTTAATTTTTCAAAAAGAAGCAGAATCCATACTAATTTTCGCAAAGATGCTAAAAAGATGTCTGTAAGCATTCTTTTTCAAAGCTCATTGTGTAGCATACATATAACATACTAATTTGAATTGATGTACATTACACTATTGTAAATTCTACATTTATGATTAGTTATGATTCCAAACGCACCCTTACTTTCTCTACACAATGCATCTTATAGTGCAACAATGAGTATATAATGGTTGTAATGCTTTTTTTTCTTTTCTTTTTATGATTGTCAGTTTCCTCCAAGACACTTCTACAAAGACCACTCGCTGGTTCTCAGGTACCCTTTTGTCCAATTGAGAAGGAAATGGTTGATTGTTGGTCACACATTGATCCCAGCACTTTTAAAGTTCGAGGAGCAAATTATTTAAAGTAAGATTAAGATTCTGTCAGTATTTGGTTTCAAGAAATCATTATGTGTACATAAGTGCGTTAATAGTTTAAATTTAGATTTTTACATACATATCATACACAAAATTATGTTTGACTTGGCCTAAAAAGTATATTTCTGAGGCAGGGACAAGAAGAAAGAATTCGCTTCAAACCATTGTGCGTATTACCCATTTGGTGTTGATCTATTCTTATCCCCACGTAAAATAGACCATATAGCTCGGTTTGTGGAACTTCCTGGGATGAATTTTTATGGGAAACTTCCACCTCTACTTGTTGTAAATGTTCAGGTACTTCTGTTTTTCTTCTAAAATATAGTTATCCTTTTAACCTTCTTGTTGAGAATTCTTCTAATGCTAACAATGGATTCCTAGCCATATTCTAATCCTTAGCTGTCTGTTTACTTGTTCTGTTGAATATGTACCATGGTCAGCACAAGTCATAAATATTTTCATGTGAAAAATTTAAAATTATGTCTACACGGACATTCAATAAGAATTGAGTATTGACCATTTTACTGTGTCATCCTATTCATTAATATAATGTGGCGATAAAGTGAATTCCTAATAGATACCTGTGTAAAAGTGTTTTACACCAAAAAGTGCATATAAATTAAACTCTTTTTTAATATGCTCTAATGTTTTTGTACTACATATTCTTATATTGTTATTTTGTGGATTGCAGATTCCCATTTACCCTGCCACACTTTTTCAAGGTCAAACTGATGGAGAAGGAATAAATTTTGTGTTGTACTTTAAACTTTCTGATAGTTACTCCAAGGATCTTCCGTTGAATTTTCAAGAAAACATAAGAGTAAGATGGGTCCTTAATGCAGTTAATTTATCACTTAATATCATAATGTAAATTCTCCCAGAAGCGCATAATGTTGATGACTTGGTGTGTGTTTCTGATGAATTAACATCTGTTTCATGCCTTTCCACAGAGGTTGATGGATGATGAAATTGAAAAGGTAAAGAGTTTTCGTGGAGAAACAATGGTCCCCTTCAGGGAAAGGTTGAAAATTTTAGGTCGTGTTGTCAACACAGAAGATCCTCATTTTAGTGCAGCAGAACGGAAGCTTATGCAGAATTACAATGAGAAACCTTTTCTTTCACGTCCGCAACATGAGTTTTACTCAGTAAGTTTCAGTGCCTTTTTATAATGACTTCTTTCAATAGACCCGTAACTAATGCTGAGAATTAGCATTCACCAAATAAAATGCTGAGAATTGGCTGCTTCTTTTTGGTACCTATATCTTTGGCCAGCAATTTATGGTGGTGTCATTCATTTAAAAGACATATAATATCCACATGCAGTACTTTATTTTCTAATTTTCTTTTGAAAAAACTAATCAATATTTTTTTTTTTTTGGCAGGGAGAAAATTACTTTGAGATTGATTTGGACATGCATAGATTCAGTTATATCTCCAGGAAAGGTTTCGACGTTTTCTTGGATAGATTAAAGGTCTGCATTCTGGATGTTGGTCTCACTATTCAGGCAAGTAGTTTCTTAACTGTCAAAATCAAATGTATTTTCTGCTTACTTTCCATTCAATTCGCTGATATTTTCTTCATATTTTCATCATAATTCAGGGGAACAAAGCAGAGGAGCTGCCAGAACAAATGTTATGCTGTATCAGGATAAACAGCGTTGATTATATGAATTACCAGCAACTGGAGCAACCTGAGGATCCCCTCTAACAATAATATACTTGCAAAACATTTGTTATCAATTTTTGTGATCAATAATGATCATTTCAAGTTGGGTTTCAGTGTCAATTTTTTTTTTGTTGGTATAGAGGTTTAACACCTTGTCACAAATGAAGGGAAATAAGCGCGTGATGATGGGAATGGATGGCATACTTTTCGTAGTGGCAGAGCCGGCTCAAGGAAAGGTCTCTAGCGCAGGAATTCAAATTTGGACTTACCTACACCTACATATATAACGTACAAGAGGGTCCATTTCTCCATAAGCAAACAAATTTATTCTACCAAGACGACTAATCAATTTAAGGGGTGGATTCTGATAAAAGAAAAATGGTTTGTTTTTTCCCCCAGGTGTGAGGACAGTGGTGATTGAATAACTACTATAATTTATAAGTGAATTATGTCGCATTATGAGTGTACAGTTGTTGAAGGCAACAGGTGGGAAAGATGTTAATTTTTTCTTGGTTAAATACCCCCGGGCAAAATATCCAACGTTTGACTATTTATGTGGACAAATGAATTTCAAATTGAGTATTTGTTGGAGATTAGTTGAATCCACCAATAGCAATAGTAATGACAGAGAATTTTGTGTTTTTAAATATTTTAATGATCCACTCATGAAGTTGTTAGAATATTTTGGGATACTTTTTTATATTTGGCTTTTAAGCATTAAACATGACACTTATGTTTTTTGGAATGAGATACTCTAATAAATATATTTTGAATCTGGGATCTTAAACTGTCTGTTCAATGCTACTAAACACAGAAAATACAATCGTTGTCTCTAGTTTATATTTCTAAAAGGAATGGAAATAAGAAATCTATGTATTCTTTTCCTAGTGAAATATGACAATGCTCAGTTTTCTGGTTTTGCACCAAGCAAAAATCAAATGTTTTTGAATGATGCGCAGAGTAGCTTTTTGTAGCACTACACTTCACAATTCTTAATGTTTGCAAGGATTGAGAGGTTCTCCACATAACCCTTTATTTCCAGAATATGAACTCTCAGGAAAGTCAATCAAAGGTTTTCCATCTGGAATTTCCCCTTCAAGAAGATTGTTAGATACGTTTAATTCCCTCAGCTTTAACAACTTGAGAAATCCGTCGGGAATGTTACCAGTGAAGTGATTTTCCTGCAGCTTCAATCTCTCCAATGAGGTTAAATTTGCCAACACCTCCGGCAAGTTGGAGCCCAATTCATTGAAGCTCAAATCCAAACTGATAAGTGGATTCAGTCTCCCAATTGAATTTGGTAACCTACCTTTCAGAAGGTTATGAGACAAATTCAGAAACTGAATATCACATTGCCCTCTCACACCAATTTCCTCAATTCCACTTGAGAAGTTATTCTCAGAAAGATCAACAAATTTTAGTGATGCCCCCAAAATACCTTGTCCTATGTGAAATACTGGAGCTATGGAGCCTGTTAGCCTATTTGAGTGAAGATCAAGCACTCCTAAATCTTGCAAATTTCTAAAAGAGTCAGGGATGTATGAATTAAGTGAGTTCCTTGAGAGATTTAACATGTATAGTTGATTGAGGCTTCCTATCCATGATGGTATGCTTCCACTGAGAAGGTTCACTGACAAATCCAATTCCTGTATTGGACTATTGGTTGTTTGGAAAAAATCTGGAATTTTGCCCTGGATTCCACATCCAGCAAAGTAAATATTGGAAAGTGATGACATGTTTCCTATCCATTTTGGGATGGCAGAGAGATTCAGATGGTTGAAGGAAAGATCAAGTGTTTGAAGATTTTGAAGGGAAGAAATCTCTTGGGGTAATGGCCCTTCAATCAAATTTCTAGAAATGTTCAACATCATGAGCTGAGAAAGTTGGCCTACTGATTTTGGTATTTGACCAGATAAGAAGTTACCACTGAGATATAACTCAGTCAGTAATACTAAATTGCCTAAACTAGATGGCAGTTCTCCTTCCAGTTTATTGTTTGATAAAGAAACTCTTTGAAGAGATACCAAATAGCCAATACTGGAAGGTATATTTCCAACAAAGAGATTATTATCGAGTCTTAAGAAGCCAAGAGAAGACATTTCACCAGATCTTGAAGAAAATGGAATGGTTCCCTCAAGATAGTTGGAGTTCAGGTACAAGACAGAAATGACAGTTAAATTGGTTAATGAAGAAGGCACTTTCCCGCTTAACAAATTGTTTGAAAGATCAAGCTTTTCCAAAGCCTTCATCTCACCAATACTATTGGGTATATTACCCTCAAGAGCATTGTCATGAACATCCAATTCTACCAAATTAATCAAATCCCCTAGTGAGTGTGGTATTGTACCTGAAAATTGGTTCGAGTAAAGCAGCAACCTTTTCAGACTTTTTAGACTTCCAAGGCTCATCGGGATCGACCCAGATAGCTTATTTTCCTGCAGAGCCAGTTCTTGGAGGTTTGGTAACTCTCCAATGCTTTCTGGTATTGGGCCAGTTAAATTGTTGCCATAAACGTAGAGCTTTTGCAGCTTTGGCAGGTGCAAACCAATGGTCTGTGGAATTGTTCCACTAAGACCAACTAAACCACCAAGATCAATGATTTCAAGAGAGGTGAGAAGTGTTATGGAAGGAGAAATCCACCCTGTCATTTGTGTTTGAAACAAATCTGCATCTGTGGAAATGAATCCTGGGAGATTGATCTGTGTCACTCTAGAGGTTGCATTTTCACATATTATACCTTCCCACTTGCAGCAGCTATCACCAACCCACTTAGCTAAGCGGCCAGATGTGTCCTTTTGAATTCCATTCTTGAAGCTCATCAAAGCTTCCAAATCACTGGAACTGCATGCTTCTATAGTCCAACTTGTTCCTCCAAAAGCTATCACTATCAACAATACAACTACCTCTAGCACCTGATAATTCATCTTGCTATAGGCTCCCAAATGGAGGTGGTTCTTATGGAGTGATATCTTGCATCTGAAGAAAGTACTTAGGAATGCTGGCTTGGATTTCATCTTGAGAAATAGTTCACAAGGCATAGATAAGAAAAGCTAGTATTGCATTTGCTCATAGATCTAACTTTTTCTTTTTGATCACCTTTTCCTTTTAATTTTTTTTTGTGCTGAAAAGCATATTTGTCTCTGGGTCATGATGTCCCTAATAATGCTTGTGGCCATTGAATTCAAAGACTGGCCCATGCCATCTGATTAACTGGATAAGTGGCAGGAATCTCGTCCTAACGTGTTTTTGAATTTTGAGTATTGTCTACAGTACACCTTCTCCAATGTGTGCTCAAGAAGTGGTGTACTTCGTTAAAACTTAAGCAGTAATTGTATTGTAGAAGAGGAAAACCAGCCTTCTTTCCCAATTTGAAAAATGACAGCCAACCAATGCTACGATCCAATTGTACTCGAGTTTTTGTGACATAGGACTAGAGTTTCCACATGGGAATCTAGGGTACACCATGAAGCACAAACACTTCTGCAGTGTATGTCCTGTGTGTTGTGCACGACACGACACTTCAGACACAAATTTTATGGGCCTAGAGAGCGAAGTCATGCATAAAAGCCATTTTTAAGTTTTACTAGTTATAACATGAGTTAATCACTTATACACTATTAAGGTAAATTTTTTTTATATTGATAACTAATTATATTTTTTAATTATCTCATGTCACTGTTAAAAATAAATCTGTTTATAGTGACATGACATAATTAAAAAATATAATTAATTGTCAGTGTAAAAAAACTTTACATTAATAGTGTATAAATGATTAACTCTTATAATATTATATATATATTCACTCTTTTACATTAATAACACATCTATATTATATTTTATTTTAAAATATTCTTAATAATTTTTATATTTTATAATTTATCGACTTTATGAATTCCTTTATTTTTCAAATATTCAACCTCCTTTCATGTCCACTTCATTCTTTCTCTCTTAACTCTAACTTTCAATTTTTTTGTCTTCCAAGCATTCATACCTGATACCTCTTTCACACAAATCCCTTTCTTTATTTTTTAAGATTTTAAAACAGTTGTAATTTTTCTTCAAAAACATAAAATTTTAAGATCTTTGTACATCTTTCCTTTCACTCAAATCTAGTTTCTGTAACATTAATTTTAGTGTTTCCAAAAAAAATTTTTTTAAAAATATTTTCATAATTTCAGAAAGTATTTTTTTGAAACACTAAAGCACTCTAGTGTTTCCAAAGTAATAAAAAAAATCTAAAAGTGATCAAATACCTTAAAAATTTGGGATTAATTGTATATCTTATGAACACATATATTTACAAAAAATCCACTCAATTGATAAGTGAGAAGTACCGAATTAGAGAGAAGTAAGGGAGAGAGAAAAAAAGTGTGTGAAAGTGAAAGATGATAAAGTGTTTAGTAAAGTGAAAATAGAGAGAACACTGATCTTATCAATGAACCAATAATAATTTAATGTTATTATTTATAACAAATAAAATATATATACCATACTCTCTATTTTTTATTATAAAAAAATAAAACATGTATTTTTTATTTTTAAATATAAATAAGTTTAACTATTTTTGTATCATTTAATGATATTTTCTCTATAATGTTATTTCTTTAATGTATGACCTTTTAGTTGTACTACTTCTTTTGACATATATATAACAAGAAAAATTTATTACCAACTTTATTAATATGCTAAAATCAGTTTATTTTTTTTTACATATACAACTATGTTTTATTCATAAGTGCAAGTGATTATTTAACATCTTAGTGACTATTAAACCAATATACGTTATTGTTATATAATTTATTTAAATATTTTATAAAACATGTTTTTATTTTAAAATTATATTAATTTATGTTGTTCAACTAATTTATAATTTAGTTATTTTATTAAATATTATATTAATTATAATTATTTTGAAGATTTCTATGAGATTTTGTATGATTTTTATTGAAATTTATTATCTATCACATGATATTTTAAAAAAATAATAAAGACCAAGTCTCGTGATTCAATTACTGACTCATTAATTTAACTTTTGGTCCATTAATATAATATCCTAATGATTTGATGACCAATCCAATTTTTTAAACATTGGATATGACTGTCCATTGTTAGA